GTACAAACCCCCCCCCCCCCAAACCAAAAAAAAAAAAATCCTATGCGCCAGGCATACCCTAAAACAGAGCCTAAGTAGGCCTCAATGAGCTGATGAGATTTGATCACACAACCTAAGCCATGTAAATTGGAGTCAGGTGCCATGAAGCCAATCTCCAGGTCAGAAATAATATACTATATTCACAAAAAATAAAAATAAAAAATAAAAAGAAAAAGTTTGCTGGACATGGACTTCAAGAAAAGATGGAACTGCTTGGAGTAGAGTCGCTAAATGCTGAGAGATATTTTTATATAGCTAGCAAAACAAATTCGAATAAACATCTTATATACCTGTATGGCCAACTCCCTGGTCGGGCAAATGACAAGGATGCCAGTCCCATTGCGAGGCTTGAAATTGCCTCGATACAACAACTCCACAGCTGGTACCAGAAACGCAAGGGTTTTGCCAGAACCTGTCCTTGCAGCTCCAAGAACATCTTCAAATCCTATAAGCGGTGGAATTGCCCGGGCTTGGATCTTCAATCATAAAAAAAAAATCTATTTTAGGAACATAAATTCTTTCTTATCCATTAATGTCAACCCAATAAGAAATAGGATTCTTAGCAGCTCATTATAAAACAAAACGAAAATGATCAAGTGACTGTCAGAACGTTTGAACGTGCTTAAAAGCAGCCCTACTAGCTGCTATTCTCGGAAGCTCTAAAGATGCGAATTTTAAGCGCTGCAAATACAACCCCATCTTGTCGTGAGATTGACCAATAGAACAAAATGAAGTTCACAATAAAACACGGGATAAAAACTAAAGGCAATTGATAAAATTAAAATATTATTAATAATAAATACAGATTACACAGAAACATTAACTAGGATGACAATTAATCGCCATTTACCTCAGTCATGTACTGAAAACCCATGTCCTTGATGGCATTCATGGTGGGCTCGGATAAACCCAGCGATGCAAATGTCTCCGTACTCATAATCCCAGAATTACTTCGTATCATCTTCTCTCTCTTCACCTTCTCTTCTTTTCCACTTTCCTCTTCTTCCTTCTCCTCTTTGTGCTCCGTCTTCAATATTTTCTTGCTTTTTTTCTTCTTCTCTCCAAATCCTTCTTCTTCTTCTTCTTCTTTCTGCTCTCCAATTTCCTCCCCTTCATCGCTGCCTCCTTTTTTCAAGTACTCCTTATTCTCTTCTTCGCGTTCTGAATTTTCTGGTGTGGATTTTTTTTGTTTCTTTTTGTCTCTATTTCTTTTGCGCTTCTTCTTTGTGGAATCCATGGCTCCATTATTTGGGATTTTCACAATACCCGGCATTGTTATTGATGCGTACGAGTTCAGAAGAGAATTCTAGGAGCAGTATAATTGAAAGGGGATGCAAAGTATGGTTTTAAGGGTTTTTTTATTGAACCGTTTTGAAACCTGGGGGCAGCTCAAAAAGTACGTTGCAATGGGCCGAGCCATTAATAGCCAGTTTGATTTGAATTAAAGCCCCTGTTTGGCCCTCATTACGGGGAAAATTTAATGTATAGAATAGTGTATTTTGAAAAATGAGTGGTTGAAAAAGAAAAAAAAAATTTCGATTTACGTGTAATATTATTTTATGGAAGATTGTGTGGTTGAAAATAGGAGAGAGAAAAATAGAATGTAATGTAATGTAATGAAAATCAAACAGGGGCAAAATCTACTCGAGGAAATTACACCGTCCCAAGCTTTTAAGTTCACATTACATAAATCACGGGTCCAACTTTTTTAATCAAATATTCGGTATACCCTTAATCCTAAAATTCAAATTCATTTCACTCAATTCTTCATTCTCTCTCCCCCTCCTGTCTATCTCTCGTCTCTCTATCCTCTCCGTCACAAGGAGTCGTTGTTGTCGAAAACCGCAGCGTTGTAGCGACAACCTCTTTCGAATGTGTGAGCGTAATCTAAACCAAAATCAAACAATCAATATTAGTCATATATTTTATGGATTTCACAATTTTTCAACTACACATTTCAAAAATTTATATCACAATTTATTAAAAAATCTAATTTTAATCGTCACCAAACACCCTTTAAACGTTTTACTTGATTTATTCACCCAAGTAATTATTTTTACTTTAGTTGAAAATAAAAATGTTTATTTGTCAAACTATTGAATATTTTTTATTCATCGAAGTTAAAAATAAATAAATTACTTAGTTTTTATATATAAGGTAACTAGTTTTACTTTAAGAAATCAGAAGTGCAATATCTAAGCATGTTTAGAGCATTCAAATGTTTCAATGGATTGTTAAAATGAACTTAAAAAAAGTTCTTCCTCGATGCAATCTGAAACCAACCATGTCAAGTTAAAACCTAAATTATGAAAACCCCAGATCTGAAGAATATAGTAAAAAAGAATACGTTACCCCTTGCATTTGACAATAAATGACATAATAAATTCACAAAAATGCGAGAAGAAATCAAACCCTTTGTGCAATGTCCATTGGTTGTTTCTTTTTTCTTCTTTTTTCGATGAAGATTTGTCATTGTTGTTATGAGCCCTTTTTACTATTTCTAAGTTCAACTAACAACCTCCCCGTGGACAGTATTAGCAAGTTGTTGCGTTTTCAATGGGATGATCGATTAATCGCTAGTTTTGATCTAAGAAATGAAGAAGCAAGATGAATATTGGTAGCGAGCACTCAATTCTTATGAATATGATTATAATCGATTGTGTTTAAGTAGGGTGTGGAAATTCATGGGAAGAATTGGAAATCTAAATTTCGAGTGAGAATGAAGGGATTTGAGGGTGAATTTGAAATATCACGAAATTTATAAGCTGAGATATGCTATTTAAAATTTGTTGTCCAGCAATTAATAATTGACACATTATTTCATATTAAAGTATCATTTAATTTTAAAACACAAATGGTAGTGAGGGAAAAGTTTGATATTCTGATTTAAAATTATGCATCAATCATTCGATGTGTAGATAGCAAATTTTGGAGACCAAATCTCAACTTGAAATTTATATTGTGACTAAAGTAAATATACATTTAGACTAGAAAAATTGCCATTATTGTCGAGTGATGGATGAATGGAGATACCTGGGGTTTATTGTAACAAAATTATATATTTTCCTCATATTTCATATGATAACTATAGTGGAGAGTCTATATTTCCCAAAATAAATTAATGACCCAAATGATTTTAAAACTGAAACAAATATCAGGGATAATTACCCCCGATACTCCCGTAAATAATTTAGTTTCCTTACCAAGCCATTGTTTGATAGAAATTATAATCTAAAGTTTTATCAAAATCAAAGTTAACAATTAATTTTAACCACATATTTTATGGGACTCACAATTTTTCGATAACACATCTCATTAACTTTTAGGGCCAAATTCCCAATTGACTGGCTTTTCAAACGGAGTTCCATATATTCTCTTTCTCTTGATCTTCGACTCATGGCCCATTACCATGGAAAATCCATCCGAATCCAGTTCCACCACCCCAATAATTGTTGAGAAAAATGTTACAGCAATGGAGAAAATTAGAAGAAGAAGATGTGAATATGAAATCCGGCAAAGGCTTGAATATGAAGAATATATCGCTGTCATTAAAAGATATTTACCCCCTTTCACAATGCTTTTAAGGATTAAAGTTGACATAGTTTGTAGGATTTAATCAAGCCCTAAAGAAGAGCTCCAAAAGAAAAAGTGATCTTCTTGATGAACAAGTGAAAATGAAGTTTGAATATGTGATAATTTCTTCAAAGTTTTGAATGAATGATGGAATGATTTTTTCATATGTTTAGGGATGAACACCATCGAGTATTTATAGATTTTAATCATTTCATATGAAGTGGTTTTAACTCAAAGCAACGAGTAGCAATGTTTCATTAATAAAATCACCAAAAATTTTGAAAAAACCCGACCAACGGTCGAATTTTTATACCATGCGACCGCATATGCTATAACTATGCGGCTGCATAGTTATAGTTTTGGCCGCCCTTCAATTCTCCAAAAATCCATATGCGACCACAAGTGGCTGCATAAGCCATTTTTATGGCTTGATTTTCCAATTCATTCACTTCTATCTCAATTCATCCTCTTTGATTTTGAACAACAATATTATAACAATCCACCACTTGTTCAATGAAAATCATATAATCAAATATCAACTCTCGTGCATAAGGATTAGATATATTTTGATTTGAATCTAACCATAGTACAAATCTCATAAAGCATTATCGAAATTCCAAGTAGTTAAGAAACTTTGAACCAATTATTCTTTGTAACAATACCAATGAAATCACGCATGCAAGTGTTAAATTTTCACAAGTTCCTCTAACTCGCTTAGTGCCGATATGACATTGCACTTATCTTTTTTCATCGAACTTTTAAAGAGAGAAAATTTCAACTCTCTAATGAGCCGATGCCACTTCGAAGTTCACACAAGTGAAGTTCTTTCAATATCTTTATTACTTTTAGAGATACTTGTATCTCGTACTGAACTTTGTTAAGAGTTTTATTATTATAATTCATCCCTTCAACAGTAACAACCAACATTGTTTATCAAATATAGGATCTAATAATTTAATAGTGTCAAAATCTATCCACTTATCAGATGATTTGTTATTACCACTTGAGCCTAAATATATTTGTTTAGTGTACTTTTGGTAGAGTTGCTATCATTCATGAATCTATTTAAGAAGTTTCAACCTCATCCTACTTGATGTCAATCTTACTAATTCTCTTGTGAGAGATTTAGTAAGTGGATCAGCTAAGTTCTCACTAGACTTAACATGTATAGAAGAAATTATTACACGCTTGATTAATTTTTTCCCACTCTCGTGTTTTAGACTCATGTGTCTAGACTTTCCATTATACACTTCACGATATGCTCTAGCAAGAGTAGCTTGATTATCACCTAAGATAGGTATGGAAAAAATATCCTTTATATCTAAAGGAATTTCATATAACAGATCACTTAGCCACTCAGCTTCTTTTCTTGTTTCGGGGAATGCTACAAACTCTGACTCCAATGTTGAGTGAGTAATGCATGTTTGTTTCTTAGACTTCCAAGAAATTGGACCTCTTTCAAGAGTAAATATCCAACTTGAAGCAAACTTATTTTCTCCCGCACTCGACATCCAACTGGCGTCAATATATCCTTCCAAGATTTTAGGGAACTTTATATATTGTAGTCCAAAGTTTTTTATTTTCTTTAAGTAACCAAGAACCATCCCGATAACCTTATAATATTCGGAACTTGGATTGTTAGTAAGCCTACATAGTTTAGTCATAGCAAATGTTATATCAGGTCTTGTACATTGTGTTGCGTACATAAGACTTCCAATCGTACTTATATATTCCATTTGAGCTATTGTTCTTCCATCATTTTTTATTAGCTTGACACTTCGATCCAACGGGGTATTAGCCTCATTGACGTTCAAGTGTTTGAACTTATTTATCACATTTTCAATGTACTGTGATTGGCTTAATGTAAAACCCCCCACTATCCCTTTTAACTTTTATACCGAGGATAGTATCTACTTCTCTAAGATTTTTCATTTTAAACGTGGAGAATAGAAATCCCTTCATTTTTTAATCCGTCTATATTGTTGCTGATGATCAACATATCATCAACGTATAGACATATTAAAGTAATTACACTATTATTTATTTTAGTGTAAAGGCATTTGTCCGTAAAATTATGATTAAATACATTTGACATTATTTTAGAGTCAAATTTCCTATGCCACTTTTAAGATTTGATTAGTTTGCACATCTTAAGTTCATTTTTCGATAGAACGAACCCTTTTAGTTGTTCCATATAGACCTCTTCTTCGAGATCTTCATTTAAGAATGTCGTCTTGACATCCATTTAATGAACATGTAAATCATAAATTGATGCTAATAAGATCTTTTTGGAGGTTATCCTAGCCGCAAGTGTATATATATCAAAGTAATCTATTCCTTCATTTTGACGATACCCCTTAACTACTAACCTAGCTTTGTAGGCATTAAGTGTTCCTTTGGAATTGTATTCTTTCTAAACACCTTTTTGCAACCTATAGCTTTAGAACCTCTTGGTAAGTCAAATATTTCCCAAGTATTATTTGAAATAATAGAATCCATTTCATTATTTATCGCCTCTTCTCAGAATATACAATCTCTAGAAGACATTGCATCTTTATAGGTTTTTAGGATTGCTTTCAACTTGAAGAACAAAAGATATTGTTTTTATAACGTCCTTCATATCTCCCTTTACTAAGTAGAAAGAAATAAGTTGATAATCTATTTCATCCGATCCTAGATCTTTTTCTATTCTAGTTCTCTTACTCCTTCAAGGTTCGCTGTTAACATCTTTTGTGGATGTCTCTTCTTGTGGCTCTCTAGAATTTAGAATATCTTTATTATTTTAAGAATTTTTTGCTACTAATACATTTTTGAA